GTAACAATAGTTTGGACTGGAGAAATGCCATGCGATATATAGAAAGTGAAGTTTAACATTTATAAATATATATATGTATATATTTTGTTTATTTGTTTGAACTTAAGCACAAAGCTACACAATGGGCTATATATGCTCTGCCCTTTACGGTTTCTAGCGTTGTAAGTCTGCAGACATGCCGCTGTGCCACTGGGGGCATATATATATATATATACTTTTCAAATATGAAATTAAAACTTTTATGTTATTAAAATTTGATCTATACATTATATTTAATGCCAACTTTATTGGCATGCATTGACAATAAAGTAGTTTAATTAAATTTAGAATGTAACTGTAAAAGGTCGTGACATACGCACTTTTACCTATTAATAAATATTGATGTACAGAAAAGTTCTCTGTATATGATACTACATATATAGTATGATTTATTAACTTAAGTTATTTTATATTTAATATTACCACTTATTTCAGTCAGAGTATATGTATATATAGATAGATATTTATGGGTACATATATAAAAATATTAGAAAAAAAAACAACTTTATTTTCTTTTTTTCTTTGCGCTGTGTATAATATGTCACATATCGAATAGTGTTTGAACCAATATATGTGTGTGTTCCAGTTCTTTACTAAAATTATCCTGCCATCTAACGCAATAATCAATTACTATTCGTTTGATTTATGCAATATGGCGACGGCTAGTAAACTTCGTTTACTTAAAGATGTATTAAAGGCACTTACTGATGGACCAGGATTTGATAGAGTAGTTAGTACTGTGAGTATTAATATCTTTGAATTTTCAAGAAGCAATGTATTGGAAAAATTTACAATTTAGTAACGTGGAATACACAAATAGTATACTGATATTTTTGTATATCACTTTATCACTATCAGTGTGCCCTTCTCGAGTCCTACTCCAACTTCCAAAGTTCAGTATTTATAGAATAATAGCTGGCGCTATATTCGTATCGTCTATTGTGTGATGAGGAATTATAAACTATATAGTATATATACATTTCTTATATATGTATTTGTAATAGTTCGTGATTCAGTACTGTATATGCATTAACTTCATAGCACTGATAAAATATATTTACATGTCATTTTGTAATGCCTCATGCTGTGACTATAAGTCATTGTACTTTGTTGGATATTTATCTATAGCAAATGGTGTAACCTTTATTTGAGGAATAAATTTCTCTTTATGAATATCAGAATGTTTAAATTATTCATTCTTTTTTTTTGTTGTTCTTGTTGAAAAAATGAGAATTTTTTGCTGTAGGGTGCCAATGGCTTCACTGTGCCTCTGTTGACTATTTAATTAAGTACTATGACTTGTGTAAACAATTGCCTATTGACTAAGCTTGAAGTTATTAATATTAGGTGTTTAGTTAAAATGTAGTGAAAGTATGACTTAGTGCGAAAGTTGTTTTTTCTAGTTCTAAGTAAGCAAATTTTGAATAATTTGTCATCAGTGCTGCTAACAGTGAGTAAACAGAATCAAATAAATAATATCCAGTTACTCTTTTTGTTTTATGCATAGACAAGCTTAAAGAAACTATTAATTACAGTTAAATATAATTATTATTATTAGTTGAATGTAGTTTCCTCTGGAGGGGGTAAATGTTTATGTGAGATGAAAGTGGAAGAGAATCATCAGAATAGAGGCGGTACTCTTCACGGTGGAGTAACTGCAACTTTGGTGGATGTGGTGTCTACATTAAATCTAATTGGTGAGAAAGAAGTGGCTGGAGTCAGTGTTGACTTGAATGTGACGTAGGTATATGTTTCTTATTTGTTGTATAAAGTAATTATGTTGTGAAATGATGTATACATCTACAAACTTATAGGTAACATGAAGGCAGGTAAATTGTCATAGCTTTGGCAGCAAATATTGTGTCTGGTTCAATATATAGACTGAGTGTATGAAATGATATGTCCAGCTGTATAATTCTAGGTAAAAAATATATTAGACTTTAAGTTTCAATGGGATTGTATCATATAGTGAAAGATATGTCTAATTCAGTACAAAGATTATTATAATATTTTAAACATTTTTAGGTAACTACAAACTTCAAACCATGTATAGCCTCCATTATCAGTTAATATGTGCATGCTTAACAAATTATATTTTAGAGGTTTATTTGTTTCTGAAAATTAATAAATAATTAATAGGTTTATAGTAACTGTTAAATACCATTTGAGTATTTTAAGGTATGTAATTTTATGTTTGATAAATTTAATTTTTTTTTCACTTGTTAGGATTTTTGACCAAAAATATACAATTATAAATGGAAGACAAGCAGTAAGAAAGTACACATTTTTAAAATTCTTATATGTAGTTGTTTTCTAAGTTTATTATATATGAATTACCCAAAATCCACAAGATATTTAAACACATTTTATTTTTTTTAACTTCTATTAAGAAAATATACCTAAGATTTTCAAACAATAACTAAAATTCTCTGCTGGTAATGTTGCACCATGAAATTTTTTTAGAAACTTGAAAAGTACAATATATATATGTTAATAGATATCATTTCCATGCTATGATGTCCATTAACCCTTTCCTGACCAGATATTTTTTATTATCAGGAATGAAGGAAAATTTGATGAAATATCAAACATTTTATACTTGATTGATTTATTATACATTTTATTGAAGAAAGGCTCTACAAACCATGAAATATTGGATTCAGCGTGAAATGCTCTTTATATACATTATACTAGGTAGCTTTTATCACCAAAGCACAATACTATGAAGAAAAAAAATTAGTTATTTTTTGATGAATAATATTTTATTAAATTTCAGTTACTTGAAAGGGGCAAAAGCTGGAGATGAGCTTCAGGTTGAGTCAAGCTTGCTGAGGGCAGGAAGATCTATGGCTTTCCTCTCAGTGGACATTCGTAACAAGGAGACAGGACTCCTAATAGCTCAGGGTCGTCACACCAAACACTTGGGAGCAGGCATTATTGAGAAAAGTAATTCTTCAACTCCTCAAGGATAACAAAATTATAGTAATCCCAAAGTGGTTGTTGATGCAAAATGTACATTAAGATATTCAGCATATTAGATATTCCCTTTATAGACTGTAGTTTTTTTCCAGTTTAAAAACACATTGTATAATAATAATAATAATGTCATACTTGTGAAAGTGTTAAGGTTTTTCTCTGAAAAATTAATGTTATGATTTTGTATTTACAACAGTACATATGCTAAAAAATAATCTAAACCATTTATAAGGAATTGTGTTTTTATGTTGTTTCAGTTGTTGGTATAACTACTTTGAAAACAATAAAGTGACACATTTTGTCTGTTTTGTTTAATTTTAATTCTGACAGTTTGAGTATTAAGTGACATTCCCTAGGTATTAGGGTTTATTTTGCAAGAAACAAGCATCAAAACATGCTAATTCACTTGTGGATTTAAATAAAAACAATAATACCATAATGTAATGAAAGATTATACTGAGTTACTCAAAATTTGGTTTTAAACAAATGCAAGTCTCAGCTTGTTACATGTTTACACACACACACACACAAAAGAGTGGTGAAATCAACTCAACAGAGAGTGATTGCCTAACTTTCTAAAATGTAAAATCATTTAAATACTGGTTTCTCATTGGTTTTTTTGTTTATATATTTGTATTTTTAAGTGCAACATCATGTGAACATTAAACTGGTAAAATAATTAGTTTCAACTAATTATTTTGTGTTGTGAGTAATATAATATATGTTTTACTAATATTATTCAAAAATTAAAATGATTATAGTTTTACCACTGCTTTGTATGTGTAATGAATGGAAAAAGTGTGAAATGTTTTTTCACAAATATTTTTGGTTCTTGAAATATCATTATAAGAAATTGCACAAATGTTCACATAATTTATTAAAGTATCTGCCCTTAATATTTGGGCTGAGTATGGCCAAACTGTTAGCATGCCTTGAATGTGAATGTGAGGATTTATGGCTTGCATCCTGTTTTTGCAAAAAAAGTGTTTTACTCTTGGTGGCTATGCTCCATAAGACTGATGGTGAAACTAAATTAGTGTTGGGTATCTCTTTTCATATTTAAGGATAGCTGTGTACTCATAGTCCATATATACAAAGCATGTTGAATAAAGTGATTTGAACACAAATTAATACAGTCAGATTTTTAAACATTCATATTGTAGTATTAAGAACTTGTATAAACATAGTTTTGCTTAGAAAATTAAAAAAGTTTCTTCTGAAAGGAAAGAAAGTCATCTGTTAAAGCTTTCCTGTATATTCTGTTAATCACTTTTAAGAAGTATCTGATTGTTTTACAGTTAAAATATATATGTGTGTTTTATTGTTTATCTCAATCAAACTAAACTTGCTGTCATTGATAATTATATCAATAAAGGCACGAGTGCAAACTTACTGAAGTAATTGAACAATTAAGAATTTTTTCTATGGCCCCATTCTCTGTCACTTTAAGTTTACATATGTAACAGTTAGTCAAACCAAAATAATGCATGAAACTACATTAGAGCATCTGTAAACATTGCCCATAATGCTTTTGATGAACAATACTTTTCTCAGCCTTGCACCCATTTCTGAAGGTTATTTCAAACAAATTAATGCTATAACAATATGTTCTGAGGTTTCAGTAGTGGGTAAGGTAAAAGGTATTGAATGCAATTTGGCGAGTTAATATAGTGTTACATATATGCTTGTTTGTTAATTTCCGTCTAAATTCTTTCTGAAGAACTTCAGCGATACAAGTCCTTTCTTGATTAAAACTAGTTTATTCTTCCTCGATACAACTTTTTGTAATACACAGAATTTCCATGGTCA